CGGACAAAATGAAGATCAATGGCAATATGTTTCATACGAGTGTGCATGACTGGATTGCTACTAAGATGAGTAGCACCAACATTGTCACAGTACACTGCCGGAGGAGAAGAAACAGGATGCCCCAATTCACGAAGAAGATGGCAAACCCACATAACTTCAGAGGATACAGCAGCTAGAGCACGGTACTCGGCCTCTGTTGAGCTGCGGGCAACCGTTTTCTGTTTACAAGCCTTCCAAGAGATCGGATTGCGACCCAAGAACACAAGATAGCCAGTGGTTGATCGAAGGGTATCCTTGTCACCGGCCCAGTCAGAGTCGGAAAAGGCATGGAGAGGAGACAGAGGTTGCCGGCGCAGAAGAAGACCATGAAAAATAGAGCCCTTGAGATAGCGAAGAACACGCTTGGCAGCTTGCATATGGACATCAGAAGGGGCATGGAGAAACTGAGAAAGACGATTAACTGCAAAAGTAATGTCCGGTCTTGTGAGATTAAGATATTGCAAGGAGCCAACAAGACGCCGGTATGGAGAAGGATCCGAGAGTTTGAGCCCTTGGTGCAATTGAAGAGGAGTTGTAGCCATTGGGGAGGAAACTGGTTTAGCCTCAGCCATGCCAAACTTATCCAGTAGGTCACGAATATATTGAGCCTGGGAGAGAAAAAGGCCTGCAGGAGTGAAGATAGCATTAACTCCCAAAAAATAAGTAAGGGAACCAAGGTCTTTGATGGAGAATGTGTTGCTTATCAATTGAATCAAAGAATCAATCAATTGTGGATTGCTGCCGGTCACAATGATATCATCGACATAAACCAGAAAGTATAAGCAATCAGACCCATTGCGATAGATAAAAAGAGATGTATCTGAGCGAGAATTCTGGAACCCATGAGAGAGTAAAAAACTTTTCAACTCTTGAAACCATGTGCGAGGAGCCTGTTTGAGGCCATAGATAGACTTCCGAAGCCGGCAAACATGCAGAGGTTGACTAGCATCAATGAACCCGGGTGGTTGAGCCATAAACAAGTCTTCCTCAAGCTTTCCATGGAGAAAAGCATTGTTAACATCTAATTGCCGAATAGACCAATTCTGAGTGATTGCCAAAGAGAGAACAACCCGAATAGTAACAGGTTTGATAACAGGGCTAAAAGTGTTAAAGTAATCAAAGCCAGGCCTTTGATGAAATCCTTTAGCCACAAGACGAGCTTTAAACCGTTCAACCCGGCCTTCCTTATTCCGTTTAACCCGGAATACCCACTTGCAGCCAATCACATGTTGACAGGCATTAGGTGGAACCAACTCCCAAGTGCCTTGGTGAACCAAAGCATTAAACTCATCAGACATAGCCTGACGCCATTGAGGATGTTTCAAAGCTTGACTAACACAAGTGGGCTCCAGGGGTGGATCAATGGATGTTTAGTTGCAGTGAATAAGGTTTTGGGTTTGAAAATATTGTGTTGAGATCTAGTAGTCATGCCATGAGTCCGAGAAGGAATAGGAGGCGGGTTTGGTGCTGGAGGCGAGGTGTGAGGTGAGTCGGAGTGGGGAGAAACGGCACTGGCCTGGGAATGGCTAGGTGGTGGCTGTGTGACAGGAGAGGAAGGCAAGGTTCTGGTGGATGCAGGTTCGAGATCGAGAGAAGGGCTAGAGGTGGAATTAGATGAGGGTGAAAGAGGAGCTAAGGGTGTCGGGGATGAGTCACCAATCGGGGAAACAGGGGAAGGGACAAGATCAGGAACTGAGGTAGAAAAGGATGGAGGGTTGAGAAAGCTTACCTGATTAACAACTGTGGAGGCCGCACTAGGGACTGCTGCTTGAGGACCAAATTCAAAAGATGGCGAAGCACCGACAACAATGGATGGGTCGGTTGCAACAGAAGGTGTCTTGTGAAAAAAGAAGTTGTGCTCATCAAAACGAACATGACGAGAGACAAAAATTTTCCCAGTAGAGGGATCAAAGCATTTATACCCAAGATGATCAACGGAATAACCGAGAAAAACACATTTTCGAGAACGAGGTTGTAGTTTATTAGAATTATAAGGACGTAACCATGGATAACAAGTGCAACCAAAAATCCGAAGTTTAAGATAATTGGGTTTGAGATGAAACAATTTTTCAAAAGGGGAGATATTTGTAGGTCCGGGAAGGCGATTAATAAGATATACAGCAGTTGTCAAGGCATGACTCCAAAAACGTGGAGGAAGTGAGGCAGCCTGTAATAGTGTTAGACCGGTTTCAACAATGTGGCGATTCCTACGTTCACTAATCCCATTTAATTCTGGTGTGTAAGGTGGGGTAGTAAAGTGTGAGATGCCAGTTTTTTGGAAGAAATCACGTAAAGCAAGATATTCCCCACCACCATCAGAATAAAAAGATTTGATTGTGGTACCAAATTGATTTTCAACTAAAGTACGAAATTTTGGAAAAATTATGGCAACTTCAGATTTTCGTTTAATAGGAAAGATCCAAATATACCGACTAAATAAATCAACAAAAATCACATAATAAAGGAAGCCATCAATAGACGTAGAAGGAGCTGGGCCCCAAACATCTGAAAAAATTATTTCTAAAGGTTTATTGCTTGAAATAGAGGAGGCTCCAAAAGGCAACTTGTGACTTTTGGCACA